TCATCCCATGATTGGGGTAACTAGTCATTAATTTAATGTTAAGCTTGGGAATTATGTGGGTATGCACCTTCGAGGGCACATTAAGTTAGTAAGAAATCCTTTCCATTTCTCTTGGAATTAAACTTGCAGTGTTTTAAGGATACAATTGATTATATTTTATTATCTAAACCTCATTAAATGATTGTGTATCAATTCTTGTTCACTACTAAGCTCTTAAGTTTTTCATGGGTAAGCTTATAATTTAAAAAAAAAGGTCTTAATATAATATGTTGAATTCTTATTAAAGGATTAAATCATATTGAGCCTTTGGTTTGGGGGCCTCAAATTAGTGAATTATTTTCTTCCTAACTCATGCACCTCACATTTGAATCATTCAAACTTAATTATCTTCTAAATTTCAATAATTTGAATAATTACAATTTTATCCTTTTTATAGAAGATAGTGTAGATTGGCTTCTAACCTTTAACCCTTTATATTTCAGTCATCTCAGAGGATTATTAGTCATAAGTATTGCCCTTTTACCCTCTGGTTTGACCTAAATATTAATTAAATTATGAAATTCCAAAATTACTATTTTGTCCTTATAGCTTTCTACTTTCATAGTTCTTTCATTTTGAATCAAACGACTTTAAAATGTTGATTTTACCCCACTCATAGATTGGTTGAAGCATCAGAGGAGGATCTATATTTTTCTGATTTTAGTTTAATTTTTAATAATTAATTTATTTCAAAAATAAAGATTTTTAATGATAATTAATTTAACTAATTAAACTAAAATTCTTGTCTTTAGTAAAATTATTGGAGGTTCATCTAGGTCAACGGACCAATTAAAATGATTTTTGTGAATTTTGAAATATATTTTAATTTTTACTATTTTAATTGATTTTAATGGGTAAAAAATTGAAAATATAATTTTATTTTAAAAATGCATTTTTATATTTTTTATGAGTCTCTTTAATTTCAAGGAACTCAAAGAAACTTATTTTGTATTTTTGTCATTTTTATTTGTTTTTTTATAATTATTTTATTCACAAATATTTTAAAATACGTTTTAAATTCTAAAATTATATTTTTATACTTTTGGAAATTTTCAAACACATGTTTGAGTTGTTCTCTGTAGTTGAGATGATATTCATGACAATTTGAAATACTTTCATTTTTTTATGATATTTCTTTAATATTTTTAATTATTTTAAAATTAGAAAAAGAAAATCCTAAAAATTAACTTTCTAATTTAACTTCAATTTTATTTTTCTTAGGGTTTTGTGGTCTCAAGGAACACTACAAACCCATTTTAAAAATTTTATGATTTTTACTTTATTTTTTATAATTATTTGAAGCCAAAATTCCTATTTACTTAGAAAATATATTTTTATATTCAAAATAAATTTTTTGACTTCCATATTTTTGTAGAGACCTTACAAGACCATTTGCGTCATTTTATGATATTTTGGTGACTTTTTGAATTATTTTGTATTTTTCTATTTTTTTGGTCTTTTTATTAATTCTTAAATTAGAAAATATATTTTAAACTATTTAAATTTGACTTTAATTTTTCTTAAGGTCGCCCGACCACAATGAATCCTCCTAATATAATTTTATGTTTTTCTAGTTTTTTATTTTATTTTTTGTAAATTTTATAATTAAAATAATACTAATAATCCTAGAAAATTAGGGCTTTTGGTCATAGAAATACTCTCCGACCATGAAAAATTTACATAAGATTCCCCATGTCATTAGGAATAATCCCTCAAATTTTTATTTAATTTGGATAATTATTTAATTATTTATAAATTAATTGCTTTATGGACTCTTTAATTAATTTAAAATAAAATACTTAATTAATAATTTTGTTTTTGATTTACTAAATTCTCCTCTGTTCAATGAACATAGAGGTATTTTTTTTATTTTTATGATCTTTCTATACCAAGATATGAATTTTTGAATTTTCTGAATTAATTTAAATTGAAAATACCCTAATTTCCTACTTATCCACATTGGTGTCGCGACATACCTCAGACCTATCGAAAGAGAATGCATCGCTTGTCGATTCACTGTGCTTTACACCTTAACTGCCACGCAACCCACAATTCCCGTTCCATCTTCTCATCCGACACGATTTGGTTCGTCTGTTCAATGCACATGGAAATGGACAACATCCGTTTTTAGTTCCAAACGCACCCTAACCTAAGAACAGTCCAAATTCTAACCCTAAGATCTCACTCGATACTCAACTAAATTAAGCGTGGTTTATTTCTACACCTTCATCTAAGTGAGACGAACACATCTATATGACTAATTAAGCATGAAATGTAAACTTTCTTCACAAAGGTCCAGACCGAGGCAAAAATTAGGGATTTTGATCTATACCTTTGCTCAAGAGGTGAGGTCTCAATTGAGTTTGTCCCTGAGCTTCACCTTGGTCCCAGGATCCTCCTCGAAGTGTAACCTTGCTCTGTGATGAATTTTAAGTATGGTCTTGATTAGAGGGTAGCTCGAGCTTGGTCTACTCTATGCTAGAGTGCTCAGGAAGGGTTGATTTTTATGGGGGAGTTCTTAAGCTCTGGTGAAGCTTAAGGGTGAATCAATTTGAGACTTTGATAGATTTTGTGGTATGACCATGAAATGCCCTAGATAATGAGCTCAAAATTTGGGTTGTGTAGTGGGGATGAAGGGCTAAAGATGGTTGAAATGAGCTTAGGAACACTAGAATTAGGGTTTGAAATGATTTTGATAGAGTTTCTCCAATGTTTGTGCAATTCTCCCCATTTGCGCGTGAGATGGGGTGTATTTATAGAGGATGAAGATGGCTTCAATTGGGCAGTCTAAGGTGTCCAAAAGGCTTATGAGGTGGAGGGCTAACAAGGGCTATTGGCCAATTAAAATGAGACACAATGGATGGGTGCAATTATGAATTTAACCCATATGGTCTCTCTCGACCATGTGGTTTTCCGACAGCTTAGGTGGTCGGCTGTCAAGGAGAGGTCACCATCTGGTTGAGGAAAGTTTTTGGTGGGAAAATGTGAAGCCAATTGGGTTTGTACATGGGTAGAGGTGATTGATTGAAAAAGAAAAGGAGGTTTAGGTTGGGTCTATGCTCACCAAAGTAGCTTGGGTCACTCCCAAGGTGGTCAAGGTTGATGAGGAGGTTAGCTTGATTAGTGGGTGAAGTCCCAATCAAGATCATTTAAATTAAATTTGGGTTTAGGTGAAGCATGGGAAGCGTTAATCACTTTTTAAGGGAGCTTAAAAGAGGCTCCTCCCTTTGACTTTAAGCATGGTGACATGACAATGTCTCACATGGCTTGCCTTTGACTTGGCCAAGTTGCATGAAAAGGGATTTAAGGAAATTTTGGTATTCTTGAGAGGGTTTGTCATGAGGCTTGTTTTGGGAATAATTTGATCATGGATGACATGGAATAAACTTCAATTTGAATAAGTGGATGATGAAGAGGAAGCTTTTGTTCATGGGCTTTTTTGGATTTTTTGAAAGGAATTAAAGTTTGGGGAAGGTGAAAGGAATTAAAAGTTTGGGGAACGTTTTTAAAGTGGGATTTTAAATTTAATGGGGAGGGCTTTTAAAGTCGGCTTTTAATCATGGTGGGCTAGATGAACAATTGTTATGAAAGAGAATTCATTTTGGGCATAGCTGTGATGAAATTGAACTTAAAATGGTTTAGTTGGGAGTTGGGGGTAAATTGGGAATTTTGGTGAAAAAAGGTTACTTTGGTAATTTTTGGAAATTTAGGGCAATTTGGTTAATTTTGAGGAGTGAGGAGTACTTTAGATCAATTGGAAAATTTAGAGGGGCTTTAAAACGGTTTTGGTGAAGAAATGAGAATTTTTAATCCATAAAAAAAGTTTATTAAAAATGTTTTTACTGGCCGGGAGAAAAGTAGTCTCAAGATGGACGAAACTTGGCCCTCTTCCGAGAGTGTTATTGGTACAAACCTCATGCAGGCAAGTTCATCGGCATCCCTCAATCATGTTGGGCGAATGATGAAGACAACCCTGATCTAAAATAGTCAATCGGAGCCTCCTGGCCTTGCTCAAGCGAACGTCATCTCTTGCTCACGGCTCTATAATAATGTATTGACTAAAATGCTCCTTGTTATACCTACTTTACTAGGGGTTCAAAATGTAATCTTACAACACCCATTCGTATAAATAAGGGTTCATTTTCTAAATAAAAGGTCATGTGATTTTAGTGTTCATTACTAAACACTCTCTTTTCCTCTCTTCTGCACTCTATTCCTTATGTGTCTCCCTGATAAGTTTTGAATTCAACGAGTATAATCTTCTTCCTTATTGTGTCAATCTTATCTTTTTCTCTCAATCCTTGTAATTGCTGACCAGCTTATTTGTTTGTTTATTTGTTCTTTACATCAATAACTACATTTTTTAATAGTATGTTTTATGATAAAAATTGCATGAGTAACTTGTTTATTTTTTTCCTCGATGGCTTAGCTATTACAAGGATTGAGAGAAAAATTCTACTCCTTTGTAATCTCTCTTAATGTTTATTTCGACCCTTTTCGAGAACCTTATAAACTTATAAATGTTGTAATTTGCGTTTTTACGATCTAGTTTTTAATAATTTTTTAAAATAATCATCATTAACATTAAATCATGATTAATTAATCTTTTAATAAATTAAAGTAAGGATATTAATCAATAATTTTTTTGTTAAAGATATAAAATTATGCTGGAAACCAATCAAATAAATATTCGGCTTATCTTAATTTGGATGAATTTATCTTCTTCACTAAAGGGATCCTTAGGCAAGGCCTAAAAGATGATTGTCGTTTTATCTTTATCCATTCTTGATAAAATTCAAGCTAAGCTCCAAACAAATACACTATCGGGCAGGATCCGAAAGGTCGCCGTCCCTTTTATATTCGGCCTTTCGGTGGTCGGTGATCCATTGATCTGCTAATCAATCTTCGTGTTGGATCTCGTCACGTCTGCGTGTAAAGCGTTTGTTGAGTGTCAGGTTTCACCGCTTGTTACTTTTTAATTTTGTAATAAATGCCCAGCTTTTGGAGTTCTAGTTACTCATTAGTTTCCGTTGATCGACATGCTCTTAAACTCAAACCATGAGCTTTGCATGCTGGGTGGTAGTTGTTGCATTTGGTTTAGATTCACGAGATACAGGGCTTTCTGGTCACATGAAAGTTGAGGGGGGAGCAGTGTTAAGTGTCGGGCTTCAACTGCTTTTTACAGTGGCAATGTCCATGGGTGCTTTTATTTAAGGCCACAAGGGTGTTCTTGCTTGTCTATTTGTGAACTTTTGACGTAAGGAGAGGAGGAAGAAGTTTTTTAATTTCATTTTCTTATAGAGGTTATTACTTTTGGCCCGGAGATGAGGCAATCTGCGGCTGTTTGGGATCAGAGATCAGAGTTCGAGATTGCAAAGGATTGGAATGGAATTGATCAGGTTGTGCTTCGAGTTCCTAGAGGAGCTTCTGCCAGGGTGCGATTTCATTCCTTGTTATTGCCTAGTTCTCTGAGTTGGCGATTCTTTCAGTTCTTAAAATTCTGCGGCTTTCCTTTGCTTTTTGGTTAAAATGCTTCTTTCTTCAGGTTAGTCTGCACGGAGGACAGGTAATCTCATGGAGGAATGAAAGGGGTGAAGAGCTTTTGTTCACCAGCAGTAAGGTGAGCTAAAACTAGTCACGTTTGGCTTGTCTAATTTTCTTTCACCTCTGGTCTTCATGATTTTGATGAAGATTTGTGGCCGAGTTAGTCTGATGAAAAGCTCATAACCTTCTGGGTTATCATGATCTTTCTGATTGCTTGAAATCTAATTAGAAGATGAAAAGTGTTTTCCTTTTTTCCTTAACTCCTTTAAAATATGAAATGCTTTTGTGTTTTGTGAAATGATTTAGAAGTTTTATTGGCGTGAGTTTGTTGTTGAGCTTTTATATGATGACCAAATCTTCCCCTTTAAGTATTAGATTTCTGTAAAAATTGGTTCATGGTTAATTTTTGCACCGAACTTACTCATAGAATTGATATTATTAATAATATTATTATTATTATGCTAGATTGTTGTTTGGAGCATGAACTGAATCTATTATATATTAACAAAATGGGGGGTAGGTAGGAGGTCATTTCATCATTTTGTTGTTTATTAAATATCCAATTTCTAAATTAGGACGTTTTTTTCCAAGTCATCACACACTTTTTGTCTATTATTACGAACCTCTGAGTCATTTGCTGGCCTAACATTTCAGGAGAATTGATATTACTTTCTAATTATCGTCTCTTGCATTACAGCTGGTTTCATGCTTGTTTTATATATATATATATATATATATATTTTTTTTTTTTCAGTAATATACGCACAACTTTAGAAGTTTCACATCCTACTAAAGCTTTAAGGAATATGCTAATTTTATTAATCCACTGCAATTCGTGGATGAATTACTTTTAGATTTTTGTGAAATTTTCTTCATCTTGATTTCTAAATGCAGGCAATCTTCAAGCCGCCTAAGGCAATGCGTGGAGGAATTCCTATTTGTTTTCCCCAGGTAAAATGGGATTTTGAGCATCGCTCAATGTTTGGCATCAGTTAAAACATCTTTTAACCGAATTTTTTATACTTTTTTTCTTTCCTCATTACTCTTTAGTTTGGAAATTGTGAGTCTCTTGAGCAGCATGGATTTGCAAGAAACAAAATATGGAGCATTGAAAATGATCCTCCAACCCTACATCCAAATGATAGCAATGGAAAAGTTTTTGTTGACCTTTTGCTAAAGCCAATGGAGGACGAGCTTAAGTGTTGGCCTTACTGGTAGAGCTTCTTCTGCTCATATTTATGTAAAGTTCCTAATTATCAGTTAAAGTAGCTGTTCTAATTGTTTTTATATAATTTAATGAATATCACTTTTGTTTTTGTGTTTTTTTTTTAAATATGTAAGTTACCATTTTATAGCTCATAGTGTTGTTGTTGTTAAGGTTCACGGTCAGTCCTAATTATTTGTAGATCAGCACAGTCCATTCTCATTCAACAATTTGTTTCTGCTCTAACGTTTGAAATGTCTGAATAGTGCATTTATTAGAAAAGAGAATATTAGGTTACAATTGAGATAGTGTTTTTCTTAGAAAATATAATATTAGATTAACATTTTGTGAAAGTAGATTTACTCAAAATAGAGCTTCTCACATGCAATATCAACAGGAGAGAATTGAGAATAAGGGTTAATAAAGCTATCACAATATAGGACTAATAATGATAATGCTGGCATACTAAATATACAGGAGCTGCCACCCGAAAAGAGGAATTTCTCTAATTGAATTACATAAATCAACTCATTATACAAAGAGATGATACTAATAAGTAGTCTGCCCAAACACATGCACAGTATGAATCAACTATCAGATTGTCTATTTGAACAAAATGGCTAATTACAGTACAAATGTAGTAAACAACCAATTTCACTTAGCCACCATATCCAGCATATAGTGTTCATTTAGTAATACATATCGTCCCACAAAAATCTTAGAAGCCTTCTAGTCTTGATGCATGTAAGGAGATATTACCAATATTATCGCATTTATGCATTAAGCCTTTCATAATGTGATATTCTTTTGCTACTTATTTCTGAGATACCGTCTTATAAGTCTGTCTCACTGTCTTGCAACATGTAAATGTGTAATGCGATGAGCATTTATCTATGTGTAATATATTGTTTGATTTCAGTTTTGAATTCCGCCTGAGAGTGTCTCTTTCAATGGATGGAGATCTAACGCTGATATCTAGGATAAGGAACATCAACGGGAAGCCTTTTAGTTTCTCAATTGCTTATCACACGTATTTCTCAGTATCTGACATCAGGTACCCAAAACTTACAGTGTCTTCTAAGTGAAGCAGCATCTTCTATTCATTTATTTGTTTGCATTTCATTTTGGTGGGAAGATTAGCTGAAGTATAAACGAAATTATTTTTTGAAATTAAACTGATAGGACTTTGTTGAGTGGCTAAAATTTTTATGCTTTACATATGAACATCTCCTTACAATGTTGTGTCACCCAAAATATGACCATAGTGAAGTAAGGGTTGAAGGCTTGGAGACACTTGACTATCTTGACAACCTTTGCCAAAGAGAACGTTTTACAGAACAAGGAGATGCAATAACATTTGAGTCCGAGGTAAATTTACAAAATTTAAAAAATTCCTGTGATTTTTTTATTGTTGAATATTCATCTTTAAACCTGAATGCTAGTTGTCACTTTTCTTTTTGTTGTTGCAGTGTTATTGTGATTTAGTATAGTTCCCCATTGTAACTAGCTAAAGAGCCATTTGTCTTTTTAATTAAGAAAAAATGTTTTGAAAGCTGATGCAATTTGTTATATTTGGTTGGATGCAGCCAGAAAGCGACATTGATTTTAACCTTCTTAAAAAAATTCCTTAACTTTTTTTTTTCAGTCATTTTTATTTTCAGGTACAATTTAATTGATAATAAATCCATTATTTCCTAAAGTATGTTTCTTCTATTGACAACTGCTAAAGAGTGTCAAGGGCCCATTTGATTCCTAGTAAAACAAATCAACCTAGATTTTGAACTTCATGAATAAGTCCTAGTGTGCAAAGACTAAAATCCAAGTAGGTTTAATTGATTTTATGATTAGATTATTTTCAACCAATCAATGATTTTTGAATTCTATTAAGATTGCTTTGAGCTGAGAAAGTTGAATTTATTTTGGAAATTGTGCCCATTGAATTATTTTGACTTTTAAAACTATGTTTTAAAAAATATTGAATTGTGTTTGCATTGTCATTTGGTTAGGTATATTTAGAAAGAAGTATTGATTTTAAAGTCTACGAATCCCCCAAAATTCTTTCAAATTTAAAGCTTTCATTTTTATAAAACATATTTTATATCACTAAATATAAGAAGTGCTCGTCGATGGATAAGATAATTTTGCAAATGATGTCTTGTTCTTCTCTTTTTGAGGGCTCATTTGGTTGTTGATGGATAATATGTTAAATAAATTAATGATTTTACTTTAACTAAATTCACTTTTAAATTAAAATTTTCACTTAATGAGAAATTTTAATAGTTTTTGTAAATTTTAAAAGCTATGTTGATTTCCAACCTTCTATAGAACGATCTTGTTACTATGTTCTTTTCATAGTTGATTTTTCTCGCTTCACTTGTCCTATGATTACTGAAAATGAAGTAGATTACCACTTTATAAAATTTAAACATTATGTCGAACTTCAATTCAATACATCTATTAAAACTCTTTGATGGTGGTGGCGAATATTAAAATTTTCTTGTTACAAACTTTATACAAAGTTGTCATAATTCACCAAATAACTTCACCTGAAGAGAATGACATAGTCGAAGACAAGCACATTCACATTCTAGATATTTCTCATGCTCTTTTGGTCGACTCCAATGTACCTTTATTTCTTTGGGGTGAAATTATGTTCAAAGATGTTTATATTATTAATAGATTACCTTCAAAACTTAGTCATTCTATGTCCCCATACCATATTTCTATGTTGAACTACCTGACTACACTCATTTTAAAATATTTGGCTAAGCTTATTTTTCTTAGTCACCATCTTCACTTTGTTACAAACTTGCTCTACGATCTATCTTCTGCATTTTCATTTACTATCTCGCTAACACCCAAGGTTTCAAATGCTTCAACCCTCTCGCGGGTAAAACTATCATCCCTCATCACGTGATCTTCAACGAAACTCGTTTTTCATATAAGCAACAATATTCTACACCTGAAATGTGTCTACAATTGCTTCCACCCCACTTCCAACTCTCCTAACTACCACAATTTCCCAACACTATAAACCAAGTTCAGCCACTACTTACATCTTCTCCAATCTCTCAATATCCGACTCCTTTGATTTATCTACATCTCCACCACCCTCGGTTCCTACTCAAACCATTCCCACACCTATCTTTCAACCATATTCCACCTCTCTAGCTCCATCACTTCTTCAACCATCTCACCCTAGGACCAAATGCTCTAAAATTGGCTTTCTACCTCGCAAACGGTCCCTAGATCTTCTTCATATTCATCATTTGTATAAGGAACCTGTCACTTCTAAGTTCTACCCAAGTTGTTACTCAATCTAGGTGGTGTGAAGCCATGAACGAAAACAATTAAACTCTCCAAAATCAAGATACCTGGATACTCAATCCCCCTCTATCCAGTTAGCCAATTATTGGCAGTAAATGTGCCTATAAAATTAAGCGTCATACCGACGACTCTGTAGTTCGCTATAAAGCTCGTTTGGTTGCTCAAGGATATCAACAAGATTTGCTAAATTATAATGACACTTTCATCTCTATCTAAACGTCCTACCATCCATGTTCTTCTTGCACTTGCCCTCTCCCACCATTGGCAAGGTCATCAATTGGATGTTTATAATGTTTTGCTTCATGGAACTCTAGATGACACTGTGTATATGAATCAACCCCAAGGTTACTAATCAACCAACTCATGTTTGCATGTTGAAGAAAACTATTTATGGCCTTAGACAGCCTCCCCGGAATTATTTACACCCTCACCAGTCACCAGTCATCTCTTTCAATTTGGTTTTTAGCGAAGCAAAGCCAACTCCTCTTTTTCTGTTTTAATAAGATACAACACGTCTCTATCTTGTTTAGGTAGATGTTATCTTATTTATTCGTAACAATAGTTATGCCATTCACACTGTCATCAACAATATACTCCTGGAGGCCTCTCGGTTCAGCAACCAAATTTTTGGGTATCCACATCTCTACTACATTGGATGGTATGCACCTATATCAAACTCACTATCCTGCTCTTATCCTTAGTAATGCCGGTATGTCTGATTGCAAGCCTCTCTCGAATCCTATATCCCCCTCTATAACTCTCTCATAGGATTCTCGACATTCCTTTACTAATCCCAAACTTTGCCGTATGCTTGTCAATTCACTTCAATATCTTACCATAACCCATCGTGAAATTTTCTTCGCCGTCAATAGTCTTGCTCAATACCTTCTCAGTCCTCTCATTCTTTACCACCAACAGCTCAAATGCCTTCTCATTACATCAAGGGGACTCTAAATCTCGGTGTCCCTCATCATCAAGCCGATCCTCTCACTCTCCGTACATATATTGATTCTTGTTGGGCTAGTGATTCTTCTGTCGCTCCATCATTGGATATTACTTCTACTTGGGCAACAACTTAAATTACTGGACTGTCAAGAAACAACCAACTGTAGCACTTTCTTCTACAAAAGTTGAGAATTGTGCTCTCTCCAACATAACTACCGATGTCATATGGCTTCATTGCCTAATTTAGGACTTACGAATTCCTGTTAATTTACCTACTACTTTTCATTTTGACAATACGTCTAGTGTGGCTGTCGCTCGCAACCCAGCTTTCACGTCTGTACTAAGTATATAGAGATGGACTACCACTTTATTCGAGAAAAGATACAATATAGAGAAGTTTACATGACCTGCATCAACACAAATGATCAACTAGCAAATATCTTTTACTCAATCATTGACGATTCAATTCATTGAACTTCGTGAAAATCGGATACTACACCAATATTAGCTTGCGAGAGGATAATAAAATACAATACCTCAATAGAAATATTTATTTAAAGCCCTGCCATCACAACTACCTATTATGTGTATAAATATACTTGTACTTGGCTGTTTTTTTGTATGTTGCTGTATTCTCTATTATGGGAAATAATATTCAGTTCTTTGTGTTTCTTCTCCGCTAGCATCTTTTTTACTTTTCTTGCTACCTTTTTTGTTTACCCAATGTGTTCAACTACTACTTTATTTTCTCTCTCATCCAACCATTGGTTGAATCAAAAAATCTCATCTATTTTCAAAACATAATCTCTATCTTCAAGCATCCATATGAGACCAGAGTGTGAATTTGAAATATTTATTTTTGAAAGAACATGAAATTTGTTTGTAGAGTTTAAAAATCATATTTGTCTTACAAGTTCATCTAACCAACCACCATATGAGTTCTTGCAATATTTCAAACATATGATTTCTTCTACATTCTTGTGGATTTTACATTACATGGAACGAATTGAACCCTTAGAAAGAAGAAATTGTAAGATTCTGTCTAGTTCTGCAAAATATGGTGGCAATCTTGATGTTATCAAGCATGTCTAAATAGCTACTAAAAGCATAGAACCGTTCTTTGATTGTCAATCTTTTTTGACAAACAACTCCGATTTTTTTTTAAATGGTTTCATCAATCAATTGAGATTAAGTCATTGTTGAACCACACAGGTTTTACATGCGAGGTTTTAATTGCTTGAGCAAAGGATGAAAAGTTTGTTTTTGCAATAAATGTGCTGATAATTGATGGTAATTTTTGTTCAGGTTTAGATGTTGTTTCTGATCTGCAGGTTGATCGAATATACCTGGGCACACCTAATGTAGTTGCCGTTCTTGATCATGAAAAGAAGCGGACATTTGTTATCAGAAAGGGAGGATTGCCAGATATGGGTGAGATGAATTCAATGAATGATTCATCTGTTGCATTTGAATTTAAACAAAAAATATCATTTTTAGCAAAATGAGACCTTTTTTTCGCAAATAAAACTATTTTTATTTAATAACAATTTTTTAAATGATCAATGCATCTGCTGTGCCAGAAAGCCATAAGTTCCATTTTAATTTCTAGTATATGTAACTATATGTCCTAATAGTCTCCTTGTTTAAAATGGACAATATTTTTCAGCCCAGGTAGACCTTACTCCCTAAGTTCTCGACTTTCAGTAGGCCAGTAGACTTGAAATTTAAAGAAAAACACACATCAGGCCCAATAAAAAAAACTAGTTTTAGAGTCAATTCAATTAATGAATTTATGCTATTAATAAAGTGAGAAGTCATAAAACTTCCATCTTTTGCTTTCCCTAAAAATATAGTTTCTTCCAAGTATTTTGTTTTACCACTCCTAACATTCATATGTGACATCAACCTTAGCTAATTTACTACAGTTTGATGTAACCACGAAAAACTACTCACTATCTTTTGAAAATAATCTAATTTTAAAGTTCATTTGTTTATAAAGGGACAAAAACTTGAATATTAGTTTATAAAAGCTGAAAAGGTTTTCCTTCCTTATAAGTGATCCAAATTATGAAAAATTTTCTAGAAAATCTCTTATTTTTTGTCAGAAAGGTATGGCTTTGCCGAAAGAAGAGAATGCAAAGCTGTATTAATCCATTGCACGAGTGTACAATTTTGTTTTTACAACCGCTGAACTGTTGGATGCATTTTAGTGAGATAGCTACTGTCATGTTTTCATATTTGTAGTTGTTTGGAATCCATGGGAGAAGAAATCCAAGTCCATGTTAGATCTCGGGGATGAGGAATACAAACAAATGCTGTGTGTGGATGCTGCAGCCATTGAAAGGCCAATTACCTTAAAAACAGGTGAAGAATGGACGGGAAGATTGGAAATCTCAGCTGTTCCTTCCAGCTATTGTAGTGATCATCTTGATCACCACCTCCTTGGAGTCATGTGAGAGAGAGAGAGATCGGGGGAGAGATAGCAGAGCCTTTGAATCTTGTGATAGAAGTAAGACATTGAGGGAGAGATAGCAGAGCCTTTGAATCTTGTGATTGAAGTAAGACATTGATTTCTTAATGAGGTTTAGAAGCTTGGTTTTTTCAGTGGAAGCTTTTGAACCATTTATTTGCTGTTTGTTTTTTAGAAAGCAGAAAGCTATGTGGTTTGTATAGTTCTAAAACAATTATGATTTGTTATGGCAATGCCGTGTCAATTTTTTATTGTGCCTACTTTCTCGAAGAAATAAAGTTAATGTTGTTTATGGGTAAGTTGCTCTACCAGTGTGTTGTAAAGTTCACCCAGTCATCCAGTTTCAATAAATCAATTGAAGTCATTGAACCAATCCCAGTTTAGTTATCTAACTTGGAAGTATTCCCAACTATATCTATCATTGAAGACCAGATTTGAGCTTTCTATTGTTGGTGACCGGCTCAGTAAGTAGTCTTGAACACATGGTCTATATCATTCACACAGATTAGTACTAGCACAGTTCCAATTTTGTCTTCAGATGAATCTGTCTCTTAAGGATCAACCTGCTGACTGTTTTTATGAATCCAGGCCAGTAAAGTTTATAAAACCTACCAATCAATTTTGAATCATCTGTTTTATTAACCAAGGAGGTTTATCTCCAACCTCTCCGGACAATGTCAACATTTCCCCTTTTTGGTCAAGAAGGAGGTTCATTTCCATTGTGATAAAGTTTGTCAGGTCACCTTTGATGATATCAAGCGCTACTTATTGGCACCACCAGTATGACTAGCTCCCATCCTAGGGAAACCCCTTATACTGTATACAACCACACTAGATGAGTCAGTAGGGGCATGCTAGCTAAGTTAATGATGAGGGGAAGAGATCGCCCTGTACTATCTTATTTGGTGTTTCATTCCCACTGAAATGAAACATCTGCCAATCAAAAAAATTGTCTGGCATTGATATTCTCAATTCAGAAATTGAGTCATTACATGCTCTCACATCATTCTAATGCGATTTTGAGGGTAAATTCCTTACAATACTTAATTACTCATTCTACATTGGCCGGAAAATTAGCCAGATGAGCCATGATCCTATCACAGTTTGGTGTTTCATACGTCCCTAAGCGAGTCGTCAAAGAACAGGCTTTGACTGACTTTCCAGCTGCTCATCCAATTATGGTTGATTCATCGTTGAATGATGAGTTTTCTGATAAGCATTTATTGGCCATCGACAATCCCGAGTGGGAATTGTACTTTGATGAGGCATCTTCTTTAAAGGTCCACCGGGATCTATCCCAAAAGTACGGTCAGGGATCAAAAAGATCTTAGTATCCCCATAGCAGGGTATTCTTCTCTATTCTTATAGATTGGCAGAACTGCACAAATAACGAGGTGAAATATGAAGCCTTGATTCTTGAGTTGGAAATTGTCATCCAGATGAATTTCAAAAAGATTAAAGTTTATGGCGATTCACAACTCATAATCAGACAGGTGTGGAGGGCCTATAAACTGCTCAAGCCTGACCTATTGGGATATCATAAAATAATCATGGCATTATTAAAGCACATCCCTGATGGAACTTGATTAAAATATCTCATTCCTCAATCGAAAGTTGTCGCTCTTGTGAAGATAGCAAAGAATTATCTAGTTCTAATGAGGATCCTGTGATAGTGGTGATCCCAGAAAGAAGGTTATTGTCACCAATACTTTTTAGCACTCTAGAAACCTCCATGTTGAGTGACAAAGGCATAGACCTTTCCGCTTCTGATGAATCATATATTGATTGGTTTCAAGCCTTCATCGCATATTTGACAAAGGAGATACTCCCCGATGATCACTCCCTTGCTCCTTAAATTCAAAATCGAGCACTCTCATTCACTATTATGAATGATACGTTGTACCGTCGCTCTTTTGAGCAGACGTGGCTTCGATATGTCGATAGGAATGAGGCCCAAAAGATCATGACTGAAGTTCATGAAGGCATCTGTGGGTCACATCAATTGAGCCCCAAAATGAAAATCAAAATTAATCAACTTGGCTATTATTAACTTTTATTGATCCTTGATTGAATGGAATATGCCAAGTGGTGCCATCAGTGTCAAGTGTTTAGTCCCGTACCTCATCAACCCTCGAATGTGCTATCGTTGGACCTATTGAGCCTCCGTCCTCTAAATGACACAGATTCATTCTTGCGACCACCAACTATTTTTGTAAGTGGGTGGACGTTGTTCCCTTGAGGGAGGTGAAGGCAGAAAATGTGTCGCACTTTGTTAAGAACAACACCCTATGTCAGTTTGGTGTGTCACGCCGTATCGTATTCGATTACGGGTTCACCTTCAAGAACATCAAAATCAATAGGCTTGTTCATCGCCATCAAATAGATTGGCAGTTTTATACCATATATTATCCGAGAACTAATAGATTATTTGAAGCTTTTAATAAGATTTTGGTCAATATTATAAAGAAGACTTTACATCCTAGCAAAAGAAAACGACATGAGAAGCTCTCGAAAGCCTTATGGGCATATCGTATGACATATCACACATCCATAGGCTCTAGTCCATACACATTGTCTATAAAGTCCGAAGCAGTTCTTCCCTTGGAAGTTGAATTGCCTTCGTTGAGAGTTGTTATGAGCAACGATATAAACAACAAGCTAAACATCAGACTGTGATTGGAAAAATTGGATAACCTTGACGAGCTGAGGCTACATGATCAACAAATCCTCGAGCTTTACCACGATCGAATGACCGAAACCTACGATAAACGCGTGAGGGGCTCTACTTTTACGGTTAGAGACATGGTATTAGTCTTGCGTTATCCCATAGTGACTCACTGTTGTACACATGAAAAATTTGAACTCTCATTGGAAGGTCCATTCGTGATAGAGACAGTCTACGAAGGAGTAGCTTACATGCTAGTTGACGCAGATGGAACTCATCACATGCCTCCGATCAACGAAAATTTTTTGAAGATGTTTTATGCTTAGGCATTACTTGTACTTGTTATGTTTTATACACAAGTTATTTTCAAAATTTTTGTACTCATTTAGCTACATTATTAAGTAACAAATGTGTATTATTGATACTTTCATGAGCTACAAAATTGCCCTGTTTTGATGCTTTATATATGAGAATCACTTGTGATGACATATTTTCTACACTTACTGAGAGACAACTTAGCGAGGCTAGCAAAGTGCGTACCTATGGACATTCATATGCTTCTCTTAAAAGTGATTTTTGGGTTTTATCCAAGCAAGGTGGAAGTCCTTAGGGCAACCTATAATTGCACTCTTGATAATCAGTATATGAGAAACTATGTATCTCTCTTACTGTAACGTTTTCGACCATATGCTTTACTCATATAATTATTAACCATACTTTTCATGCTAAATGCGTTGACCTTTGACCTGACCCACAATTACTTGTATTTTTAATCTCCTTAGTTTTGTCAGAAAATATATCTCAATTTATATCTAGCAGCTAGTATGAACACAAATAATGATTTATGAATTATTTAATAAATTTTCACACTAGAGGTGCTATGTAAGTATACGTATCGTTTCAAGTAATGTAGGATTTTCCTTAAAAACCCCAGTATCGATCCCATGAGGAATGCGGTAACTCTTAAAATCAACTCACAGAAATTCTATTTAAATTGCAAATTAAATAAATAAGGGGTCTAAAATTATATGTTTACTAAAAATCACTACTTAAAGAGTTAAAAAAGGAAATCAACAACTAAATGTAATAGCTTAATAAAGTATAACAAGTTTGGATATTATGAAAAACCTTTCCCCTTGCAAAGAGATTTTAATCTCTGTAGGATTCAAATGATTTAAGAAAAAAATGAAGTATTGTGACAAATAGAAGCATCTCTTATTCTTTATCCCCTCCCATTGCTTGCAAAAAACATTAGCTGACTTAAGGTCGATTCCTTAACATCTCAACTCCACATTA